CCTGATTTATAACAACATCATTGGGAAGTAACTGGGGAAAATATGGTTTTTTTTTTTAATTTTTTTTTAATTTTTTTTTATTTTTTATTTTTTTTTAAATATGGGTTTTTAAACAAATGGGTCAACTAAATATCTATATAGAAAAATATAATCCTGATCTTTACCTTTTATTTTGTATACACATGAACACACAACATAATCCACAATAGGTTGTAGACCTACATGTGGAAACTAAAACAATAAAGTGTCTAGAACTGTACTATTCAATATAGCAGCCACTAGCCTTATATGGCCATCTAAATAAAATTTTTAAAAATTCAGTTCCTCAATCATATTATCCACATTTAAGTGCTTAATGGCCACATGGGCCTAATGGCTACTATATTGGGCAATGTGGACCTAAAACATTTCCATCATCACATAAAGTTGTATCACACAGCTATATTCTAGAAGAAAATAAAAAAACTTTGTGAGCAAAGATTTGTTAGACAAAACACCAAGTATACTAGCCATAAAAGATTGTAAAGTTGGACTTCATTAAACTGAGAACTTCTATATATCAAAAGATACCATTAAAAGAGTGAAAAGCCACACACTGAGTGAAGTTATTTGAAAATGTGTATCTGATAATAGACTCATATTAATGATACATAAAGGACTCCCACAAATCAATAAGAAAAAGACAGATGCCCTACCCCTTAAATAGGCAGAAGAGGCACTTCACAAAAGAAGTTATCCAAATGGTCAATAAATATATCAAAGGTGCTCAAGGGAAATGAAAATTCTAACTGTAACATAATACTCTACACACTCACCAGCACAGCTAAAATTAAATTAACACACAAGATCAAGTATAGGTGGGGATATGGAGTAAGTTGGAGTGCTGTCGGGAGTACAAATCGGTACAACCATTTTCAGAAACCACTTGGCAGCATCTAAAATAAATATATGCCAATTGTATTACCCAGAAATTCCACTTTTGGATGTATACCCAAAAGAGATGTGTGTTTACGTCCAGCAAAAGATTTGTGTAAGCATGTTAATAATAGCTGCAAATAATTTCATTACCTCAATAGTAAAAATAGATAAATAATAATAAGCTATGGTATATTCATACAATGGAATATTATCAAGCAAACAGATATACAAACAAATGTACTGATACCTGGAATGATAGGAATTGATTTCACAATGTGTTGAATGGGAGTACATATCACGTGGTTCTATTTACATAAAGTTTCAAAAAGCAGACAAAAATTAATCTATGATTTAGAAATTAGAGGAGTTACTATCCTTGAGTATATCCACTGAAAGAGGGCATAAGGAGTCTTCTGAGATGTTAGAAATGTTGTACATGTTGGTTTTTGTGGTATATCTAGCTATACAATTAAGATTTATATAGCTACTCTTCATAAGTAATTCTAAACATATAGACATATATATGAGTGTGTATATATATACGTGTGTGTGTATGTGTGTATATACATATATGTGTATGTGTGTGTATACAATTTGTAGAGAGGGTTGTGCAGGAAACAAAATGGGCAAATAATAATGGGAAGGACAGTATCTCCTTAAAGAGGGTGGCCAGAAAAGGTTTTTCTAAGGAGGTGGCTTTAAGCAAGATGTAAATCTTGAAGTAGATTCCAGAGCCTAGAATCAGCAAAAGGAACCACAAGTGCAAGGACACTGAAGCAAGTAAGATCCAGAAATGGTAGAGGCCCTGATGGAAAGCCAGTGGGGCTAGAGCAAGCCCCAGGATGGATGCAGTCAGAGCTGCAATCAGAGGGCACATCATCCTAGAATCAGATGCTACAGTAAGGAGTTAAGACTTAATGAACCATGAAGAAAGGGCACCTGAGTGGCTCAGTCAGTTAAGCCTCTGACTCTTGACCTCAGCTTGAGCTCAAGCCTTGTGTTGGGCTCCATGCTGGATATGGAGCCCACTTAAAAAAAAAAAGAAAAAGAAAAAGAACCATGAAAAATCACTGAAGAGTTTTAAGTAGGGGAGATATAAGATTCAATTTATGTTTGTTTGTTTGTTTGTTTGTTTAAATCATCCTGGCTTAAAAATTGCAAGAAGGCCTGGGAAGAAGTAAGGAGATTAATTAGAAGGTAATTTCTATTGCCTGTAGGCCATAGAACAGCCACATCATATAACAGGGGCTGGGGGTGGGTGGTGAGGTTGGCACAATTTACATTGAATACGATAGGAATGAGGCTATTAAGAATTTGGCAAGGTTTGGACTTGTTAAGAAATCATGATTGGCAATTCAGAAGGAGAGAACTGGACAGATACCAATCATGTTTTGGAAGTACTGTGACATAATTTGCTAATTTACTGGATATGGGAGGTGAGAAAGGTAGCCTTCCAAAGTGGATCCCAATAATCCTGGCCTCCTGGTATTCCAGCCCTTGCATAATCCTCTCCTCTTGAGTATGAATGAGATGTGATGACTTGCTTCTAACAAGAAGAACAAGATAAAGTGATGCAATGTCACTTCTGAAATTAGGTTATAAAAGACTGTGACTTTTGTATTGCTGCATCCTCTCTCTGACTCTTCTTACAGGTTCATGCTGATAGAGAGGGCCACCTGGCAAGGAACTGGAGGCATCCTCTGGCCAACAGGCAGTGAGGAACAGAGACTCTCAGTCCAATGACCTGAAAGAAACTGCATTCTTCCAGCAGCCATGTAAGTGAGCTTGGAAGTGGATCTTTCCCCAGTTGAGCCTTCAGATGAGATCCCAGTTCTGAGCTGACAGTTTATTGCAGCCCTGTGAGAGCCCGAGAAGCCGAGGACCCAGCTAAGCTGTTCTGAATTCTTGCCCCACGGAAATGATGAGATTGTATTCGCATTTTCTTAGACCAAATTTTGGAGTAGTTTGTTATGCATAACAGATAATAATAACTAAGAATATATAATAGATCACTAATGCAAGAGGTGAGGCAAATAGAGAAATCCAGGATAATTCCCACCTAAATTCTGCCTTGAGCAACTGAGTGTCTAGAGATACCACGACTCCAGGAGTCAGTTCAGGGGTGATGGGGACAAACAAGCATTTTGTGTATTACACATCCAAGTGAGCAATTGGGTGAGCCATCATGGAACCCTTAACAAGATGTCAGAAGTTCTACTTTTCCACCAAGCCGAGCAGTGAAATCCAAAACGTGGGTTTGGACTCAGGGGAAGGAGCTAAGTCATTGGAGTTTAGAAAATGCAGTCCTCTCTTTGGTCAAGCCTAACTGTCCCAAGTTCCATTTGGGTATTTGAGGCTAAAACCCCAGGCACTAAATCACTTGTTGCACTGTCCTCCTTGAGGAAGAGGAGAGGCAGCAAGACAGAGTTTGGGATTTCTGTTTCACGGGGCTACAGAGCAACATGATGGTGGCCATTTCTAAACCTGAAAGGCCTAAGCACCAAGCCTTAGCTCAGTGTTTCTCAACAGGACCCCTCTGTTGGCACTCGGCCCAGGACAATTCTTGTCATGCTAGAATGTCCTGAGCATTCTAAGAGGGTCAGTGTATATCTATAGAATCTGCTGGTAATCGTGACTATCCAAAACATCCTTCTCACAATTCCAGATGCCTCCTACTGGGATGGCACCTTATCCTCCTTGAGAACCAATGGACTATTTGTGCTCACTCCACTGCAACATCTCAGCCCACGCTTTGACCTTGCACCCTGCCATTTCCATGGTGCCTGCTTGGCAAGGGTTTCCAGGTTATTAAACATTCTCATTCCTAGAATTTTAAATACAATGGGTTCCCAAATAATCAAAATATAATGTTAACATGAGAACGATTTCTTATAATAATTGAATTTTAGATGATTTATAAGTCAACATGGAATCTGGTAGAAACTCTGAGACATCGTTATAACTGGTCCTGTGTGTGCTGTGGCCATGCTGAAAAGAGAGTTGATAGAACGCTGGCTGTCAGTTCCTAGTGAAAAAAAAAAAACTGCATGTGTCCCAATGCTTTAGATTTGTGACTAGAGGTGCCCTGAAAGAATAGTTTGAAAATTCAGAACCTTGATCTGGTGATTATAGCTGTTAGGGTCCCAGCGGACTCTATTCCTACACTGGGCCATAAAGTCGTCACTCTAGCTCAAATCTACATTAGAAAGAAAAAAAATTGCGTTTATGTATTTGTGATAAGCTGCATTTTATCGTACTGATTACCACACAGCTTTTATTTGGACACCTATTGTGAGCCAGGCACCGCGCTAGTTTCTTTGAATGCATTTTTAAATTTAATGCCCACAAAATGCCTCTGTGGAGAGCAGTACTACCATTCCCATTTTGCACAAAAGGACACTCAGGCTCAAATTGTGCAACGTGCTCAGGATCACTAAGCCTGTAGGGGACAAAGTCAGATTTTAAGCCCAGACTGTGAAATTCATTCTATAACTTCTTTAGGCGACATGGATCTGGAGTGATTCTGTCTAACAGATAATCCACCAAGTGCCCAGGCCCGGCCCTGGAAAAACACAACAGAGATGCCCTCGCCGGGCTGGCTGGATGCACCGGTGCGTGGCAAGATGGGTACAAACAAGTGAGGGGGGACATGCATAGAACAAGGAGGTGAAGCGTGGACGGGACGCGAAGGTAAGCGAATGAGCGCTCCGAATGAACAAGCAGCCGAGGAAACGGGGAATGGGATGGGAGGGAGTGAATGGACGAACGGGTGGACGGAAGGCTGAATGCCTGCCTGCACGAGCAAGAGGTTTTGAGGCTGCACTACGTGAAGCCTAAGCGCCAGGCTCGGGGCGCTGGCGGGTGGGCGGGAGGGCCGCTACTCCACACAGTACGGTAGGCGCGAGCCGCTCCTCCCGGAGCCCCGCTCGCGCCTCCTCCCCGCCTCCCCCGCCTCCCCCTCCTCCTCCTCCACCGTCGCCCGCCCGCTGGCCGCTCGGACCCCAGTCCCCGGCGGGCGGGCGGGCGGAGCAGGCGGCCGCCCGCGCAGTTGCGCTCGCCCCGCCGCCCGGCGCGCCGCGATGCGCAGAGGGGCCGCCGCCGCCGCCGCCGCCGCCGCGCCGCACCATGAAGCTCCGCAGCAAGGCGGCGGCGCTGCTCCTGCTGGCGCTGGGCGCCCTGCTCCTCGCGCTGCTGTCCCTGCGCGCCCGCCGCGCCCAGCCCCCGCGCCGCCCGCGCGCCCGCGCGCCCCGCGCCCGCCCCGCAGCGCCGCCCCGCGCCGGCCCCCGCGCGCCCCCCCGGCCCGGGCGCCCTCCCCGGGGCCGCCCCGCGCGCTCGGCGGCGCCGGCCCCCGCGCCCGCGCCCGCGCCCCCGCCCCCGAGCCGGCCGCCGGGGCGCCGCGAGCCTGGAGAAGTTGGCGAGGTGAGTCGTGGCGGCCCCGCCACCGCTTCGGGGGCCCCCGCGCCCCGCCGCCTCCGCCCGCGCCAGGTCCAGGGGAGGCTCGGGGCTGCCCAGCCAGGGGCCGCCCGCCGCTGTCGCTGCGCCCCCGGGGCCCCGGAGCCACCCTCGCGGAGTCCCCGTGACAGCGCAGGGCTGGGGATCACGCACGTTTTCGAAAGAGAAGTGCCTGGGAGGGTGGCTTGTCTATTACTTTTTATTATTATTATTATTATTATTATTACTATTATTATTTTAACAGTCAGGGCAAGACGTGTTTGCGTCCTTGCAAACGCGCGCCCTTTGTTTAATCTTTCCAAAGCCATCACGATGCAAGAACGCTGTATCTAATTCTCATGTTTCGCAGATTTTCTTTTCTTTTCTTTTTTTTTTTTAACCAAAAACTTAAGATGTGATTGAGTTGGAAAAGTTAGCTGTTTACCGAAGACTAGCCTCCTCTCATCGACTCTTGAAACGCTCTGCAGAGAACAGAAGGGGCACTCGACCTAGGCTTATTAAAAAGAAAGTTTTTCTTCCTGGAAGGAGCGATGCGTGGCACGCGAAAGTGTGACAGTCCCCCTGTTGTCCCGTCCCGTTGCAGGCTCGAGCGCGGTCCAAGTGTCTTAACAAGGAAAGCATCTTAACCTTTGCCAGGGTGTCTGGTATCCTCCTGCTCCGCGCAGACCTTAGCCCTCCCTCCACGGCTTTTTTCCCTCGGAGCGTTTTATCTTTGTCCTTAGGGTTGCTGGACCGCCCCCAGGTTGGGGATTTGCGTTCATTTCCTTTGTTGTGGAGAGCCTTTTTTTTTTTTTTTTTTTTTTTTTAAACAATCCCCTTGTCCTGTAGCGAGTGTGTTTCCTCTGCCCTTTGGAGGCTGGTGGTGTTTGTTAAGTGCTGTTGCTCCGTCTGCGTGTGCTGGGTTCCTTCCTTACTCCAAACGCGTTGAAGAATTCTTCTTTGGCCCTGCTGACTAAATCTGTTTTGGCGCTTTTACTGTAACTAAGAGAAAAGACACGAAACCTCAAGAAGTAGCAGTGTCAGCCTTTGTTTCTCTTCTGCCTCACAATAAATGTACAGATGGGTACTGACAAGTTTTAGAGGGAGGGAAAAAAAAACCCAATGATTTATAGAGTCACTCTTAAGTATTTAGAAACACTTACAAGCTCTTATGAATGTATACATACTTTAAGGATGTTTTTTTTTTAAATTTTTTTATTTATTTATGATAGTCACACACACAGAGAGAGAGGCAGAGACACAGGCAGAGGGAGAAGCAGGCTCCACGCACCGGGAGCCCGACGTAGGATTCGATCCCGGGTCTCCAGGATCGTGCCCTGGGCCAAAGGCAGGCGCCAAACCGCTGTGCCACCCAGGGATTCCCCTTTAAGGATGTTTCTGTTAGGGACTGGGGTTTCTCATAATGTGTTATACTGAGGCACAGTTACAAGTTTACTGTGACTGGCAAGTGGAAGGGACAACTCGTAAGACAGTGACAACTGACACCATTTAACATTGTTCACCTTCTGCAAGGCACCATGCTAACAGCAGTACACAAATGTAGTCATTGTTAACACTTACTGGATATGTATTGACCATGTCATCTGCACCGCAGCCCTATGATAGTGGCTTTCAAAGTGTAGTCTTTTTTATTTTTTTTTTAAGATTGTATTTATTTATTTATTTATTTATTTATTTATTTATTTATTTATTTATGCATGAGAGACACAGAGAGGCAGAGAGGCAGGCTCCCTGCAAGGAGCCTGACGTGGGACTCGATCCCAGGACCCCAGGATCACACCCTGAACCAAAGGCAGAGGCTCAACTGCTGAGCCACTCAGGCGTCCCTGAGGTGTAGCCTGGACGGGCAGCAACAGTGTCACCCGAGGCCTTGTCAGCAATGCAGATTCTCGGGCCTCACCCCAGCCCCATGAAATCAGAATCTGTGGGGCTGAGGTCAGTCATGTGTTCTAGCAAGCCCTCCCATTGTTTCTAACACACATCAGTGTTTGAGAGCCTGCTCCATGAAATAAGTGCTAATTACTATTATCCCCGTTTTACAGTTAAGCAAAGTAATGCTCACGGTTTAGCCATTCGTCCAAGGTCCACAGATCGCTTGTGGTGGGTGAGCTTTAGGAGGACTGGGCCTGGTTAACTCTTACGTGCTATGCTGATGTCCTACACTAATTAGCCTTGCCTACATTTCATAGTTTTTTGGAGATTTTTCTAAAGAAACATCATAGATTTTTACAACAGTCTCATTCTTCAAGGTGTTGGGAACATGGGGCGGCATCTTCTTGTCTCTATCTGAACAAATTGGCTCTGACTAGGAAGAGATCATGAGCGGAATCCAAATGGACGTTTTAGGGAAAGACTATTTCCATGAGCAACAGTACCTCCTGAAGCCATTTTTCTTTTGAACATATCTCTTATATTATCATGGAAGTCATGGCCAACACCATAGGAATATAGAACAAAATTTAAAAACTCGGGGAAGAGCAAACAACAAAAAAGCCACAGGAAGTCCTCAAGCTCAGCTGCATAAAGATGAAAGTCTAGTGTCCCCTGGAGAAGTTGACATTTTCTGGGACTTAATAATTTTTTTTTTTAAAACTACCTGGACAGAAATGGCGGCAGAAGATTCTGAGACAATAAGGGAGTGGAAGGAGAGATCTTTGCATGGACTCCTTTATTGCTCTTCTAATCCTGCTTGGGTTAAATTTTTGTGGTTTAGGAGGAATTTCATTTTAGGGAGGGAAAAGAAAGCCTCGTGTATTCAGAAATCGGGTGCTTTAATCTCGTTACGTGGCTAGAATCCAGAAGAAATGAAGGTTACGTGATCTCATTTCTCGGGCCTGGGGAGTAGTCAGCAGCAAGCGTGGAGTTGATGGGCTCCAGGCCACCACCTGCTGACCATCCGTGGCCCAGGCTGCCTTGCCTCCCCCAGGGTACTGCTGTAAGTGAAGTCCTGCCACGTCAGCGCAGGAAACATAGCCCTCTCCTTCCACATCTTGTTTTCATTTCAGAGAAGTTTCCAGGGACTTGCCTAGTTAGCAGACAGACCCTACAATTTTATAACTAGTCATTTGTATGCAATCTGTCCTGTGGTGGCCTCTCCTCTCTATAAATATAAAGCCCAGAGGTAAGGTCTGAGCTTTTAGGTCAGGGGTGGGATCTGAAAACGGACACCACAATCTAAGTAGCAGTTCCAAGTGCACACGAGAAATGAAATCTTCCTTTTATTTTGGTTTATTGGTGATTTTTACCTGGCTGACTTCCAAAGAGAATTTGAGATGACTTTCAGTAAAAAACGTATATAATAAGGCCATTGAAATCGGCATAAAAAATGAAAAGTCATAAAGAGGAGTAGGAAATAAGCAGTTTGTCAAAAACTGAGCCACTATTGTTATAAGGATTAAGTATTAAATTAGCTCTAAGCTTCCTGGCAGCCATGTCAAAAAGGGAATCATGATAGGCTGCCTCATTTTCCCTGAATGATAAGAGGAAAAGTTGATCAAGAGGGATGATTCGGTTTTCATGGAAATGAATTCTAAAAAGAATTTTACTAGAGAGTAAACTCTAGAAGCCTGTCTCTCCAGCTTGCTTCTGGAAACTCCTCTTTGAGCCCATGTATGGAAAAGGCTGTTGAATATACCTGCGAATCAGTGCGACATAGAAAAGAACTTGGCATCTGGAGGCCAAAAAATTGGGTTCTAATCCCAAGCCATTTCACCTTAATTTCCTCATCTGTAAACTGAGCAAATCAATCCCAAAATTTTCCAAGATCTCTTCCAGCTCTGACATTTGATGATCCTGTGATGAGATCATCCAGTTTAGCTGTAAAATCCCAACAATGACTATTGCTTAGGCCTTTGTGCTGTCTCTTGCAAAATCAGTTTCTCATTTATTGGCTCTAGCCTAGAGTCTTACTGATTACTCAATCTCAACCCTCCCCTGAACTTTATTCTTTTTCTTCTTGCATTAGCCTGGATATTTCTGTTTTCTCTTAAAATATGGTTTCTGAGAGAAACTTAGGTTACCTCTGAGCTCTGTGGAAGTCCTCTGCCATTTTATCCCAGAGTCATTGAGCAGATGTTTATTGCACATATATTCTGGACCAGGCACTCATTGTACAGTGGTGAAAGGAATTGCTGGCCTACCAGAATTTGGGAGAGGTGGGGGCGGGGAGACAATAGAGAAACACGTTACACTTGGCAGCCTCCCCAGCTGTCCCAATGAGAGGAAGCGTGTTTACTTGCTCATCAAGAGACACCATTTCCTGCAGTTCCCTTTGGTTTCTGAGATAAGTCTTCTCAGAGGTTCAAATCTGAATAAAGGTCTCACTTAAGGGGCACAATGTTATATAGCAAAATGCCAACTCTGTGGCAATCTTACAATTAGCTAGTGGCCCAGGACATATTAAAGGTCACCAGATCTTAGGTGCCATCTGTGATGTTATGCACTGGGAGTCTTGATTCTCTTCACATTCATTTTTCTTGGTTGGTCTGTAATTCCATCTTTTATTGATCAGCAAGCCATATTGTTTATTGCAAAATATATCCCTAGGGCATCTGGGTGGCACAGGTGGATAAGCATCTGACTCTTGGTTTCAGCTCAGGTCATGATCTCAGGGTCCTGGGATAGAGAGCCCTGTGTTGGGCTCTGCTCAGAATGGAGTCAGCTTGAGGTTTTCTCTCCCTCTCCCCCTTCTGCTCATGCTGTCTCTCTCTGTGTCTCTTTTTTTTTTTCTCTCTCTCAAATAAATAAATAAATCTTTAAAAAATATATCTCCCCACTCCCATGCTTACCACTGACTCCTAAACACCATCTTGTACCCGTGGACCCCTACAGTAGCAAGAGATCTGGTTTGCATGCTTCCACTCTAGCACCCTCTACAGTCCATTTCCCATACAGCTGCTGGAATCAAGTGAAATATGTGGACCACATTGGGTCTTTGCTGGTTAAAGCCTCCAGTGACAGACTTCCCA